TTTAGAGAGTTCGGTATCCGACGGCCATAATCTGCATTATGCAAAAGAGACACTGTTAACAGTTTCGCAAATGCCTGTGACTATGCTACAAGGGTAAAGTGTGACTGACGTAATCCGGAAACAAAAATCTCTCATCTTGCTACTTGGAGATGGTGGCACTGTGCCATCCCGTTGTACCGAGATGACGTATCCAAAACGCAGACAGCCCGATGACAAGTCACATCATTAGCTGACCACTTGGGGTTGACTAAACGAACAGACGTGTGCCTAGTGATGAGACTGGATATTTCCGTGGTGCGACTTTTCGCGTACTTCTGAAACCAGTTCAGCTATACCAGGCGGTGTCCATTGGCAACTTGAGAGCCTGTTCTACCAGCTTCTGCAATGGTTAAAAGGCAGCTAATTATGACAGATTTATAGCCCACGTCGTTTTGAATCCATGTTATTTGGTAAACGGAATTGCCATTTTATACTTCATTGTCACGTGGGTGCGTAGAGTAGGATCTGCAACTTGTTTCCGTGCGTTCCGTTTCGTCATATCCTTCGCTCTAGAAATTGGAATGGATTCTTTCTTTATGCTTGTTCTTTACATGCAGCAGACTTTATATTTACTAACCGTAACAAAGATGTTGCGCCACTAAGAAATAAGCGCCACCCACATAACGCAACATAGACACGACTCTTTGAAATCACGGCACATTTGGGCGCACATCAGATTTCTCTGTACTTTGACGGTAAACTGTGATTGGAAAGAGAATAATGGCTAAGAACGCGTGACAACGTTTCACATAAGAACAGAAAGCTCTGAATGAAAGGAACGAAATCGCCCGCTCATCAAGTATCTTCCGTGCTAGTGGGTCTGACCGAAAGTGTTCTCTAAACTAGGTTGTCCTGCACCACAGGTCATACATTGAAGACCCGGCAGCTGTGGGTAAACATTCAACGCTGACTTTGTTGCATGTGCAGTACATCAGCTATCACCCATGCCAAAGGCGCCTACACTGACCACAGTTAACACGTATGTGGTGTCGAGTTCGTCACGGCGAAATTCAGAGAACACGTTACTTAATTGATACCAACCACCACCAATGAGCCTGATGAAATGCCCTAAGGCTGAAATATACTGGTTGGCAATGCTCTGTCATTTCGGCTACTAACTTTGTCCACCCAACCAACAACAATGTAGTAAACGCAACTAATTGAGAAATGTCGGTTACCATATATAGACAGAAAAAGATCGAACCTAAAGAGAGTAAATGAGACAGACGTACTCAAAGTCCACTTTGTTTGCAGATAATATTAAACTAGTCCGCTAATTTCTACCACTACGCCAGGATAACATACGTGACGACCTATCCCCGCTGAACACATCGAGCGAAAGTCCATCTATGGAATACTGCAAAAGAAAATCTCACATACTCGGGTACAGATGTCGAAACACGGAAGGCTCCGTGATACCTGCCGGGACCATTATCCGTACGTCTAATACAGACACGGATTTTCGAATTCGATATTCAAACACCTTCCAATTTCTCTGAACATATTCGATACCAAGTCGCAAAAGCCAGACAACTATCAGGTTAGATTATTGGAACGTTCTACTTACCTGAAACACTGCTTGAACTATTCAAACTCATAGTGAAATCTGCCCTGGAGTATTGCACCATAACTATCAGCCAAATATGAAGGATAGACAGCATAGCTATAGCAAACGTCCAACGAGCATATATCAAGCGACTCAGGGGATAATGCTGAACCCTGAATTACGACGATCGATGTCATCACCTCCGACTGGACACATTTTGGTTGTGACGTTGGAAAACCATCTCCCAATTACACAGAGGTCCTCCGTTGAATTGCCGAGAATCACTGTCCATCCCACCAGCAATGGGACTATCTAATACCCCCGCAACGTGAGCGTTGCAAAATAAATCGTCAGATATGCCCATCAGCGGAGTTAATAGCCACTACAAGTACGCACGTGTCCAAACTTTGCCGCATTCCGACGAGACACAGAAAATTTTCTCACTTTACCGAATGCGTTAAAGATCGTTAGCTTACAGCAACATCTGGATACATTAAGGCAAGTTGATCTTAGAAACATCTGAGGCGCTAAAAACACGCATGCAATGCATTCTTCCTGCATCACACACTGCAACTTGTGCTTCTGCTCGACGTATCCTCCCACTCCTCGGATGAGTGTCTTTGAGAATTACTATGAATAACTTTTGAAAATGGTAGCATATGCATATAGACAAACAGAAATTCAGTCGAACACGTCCTTGGATTGCGAAACAATCAATGCTTCATCTGCTTTTAGCATGCTTTGATTGAGAATATTTTACATGCGTAATTCTTCTTCCTGATTCTGTTAAGACACGGAACTTATGCCACAGATTCTGCGTACAAATGATTGATCCGATCTACAGATCTTATAGCGCTTGTCGGTAGATGTGCAAAATTCTATTTCTATTTCTACTTCATAACTCATTTGGCTTTCTGTATACCTCTCAGCTAGGATGCAAGTAGTACAAATAGGCAACTGTTTTTCGCTCTCGAAAACCATCTTACAGGGTCGTGTCCATGGCAATGTGCAAGCTCTTATTTACGTACATGAATGATGCCTTCAGCATCACGAAACGTGACACGGCATACTTGTTTATGAAGGAAATACATGTTGCCTTCTCTGTCACAGACTTGGGGACACACGGGAGGTTTTACAACATATTTACGCCAAAACTGCATCTCTTGAAACTTGGTGTCGTTTACGGTAAATTTTGTTTGTCGCACATTGCACACTGCGTCTCACAATGCAAATCCGTTCGTGACTTTGGCTCCGGTTGCACAAAGTATACGCACTACCAACCATTTTACATTGCTCGTCGATGTGCCAAGCATGCCCAAATCAGATGAAATGGCTGTTGAGCGAAATCAATGCCGGTTTACCAAAAGGATAATTGGCTACACCACAACATTTACTAAGAGTGTGCGTTGTACTCTCCTTGGACCTCAATCCTTTTAGCCGCGAACAATGATGTCGAACCCGTGTTTCCCGTTCATATTCATTCAACGCTGTGGTCAATATTTCTATGACACAGGGTGGCAGTTATTCCATACATAGTTAATTTATGAGAGTATAATTCTAATGATATGACTGCGAGTGAGAGTAATGTTAGTTCACCCTACATACTAAAACCGTTGCAGCAAATTACCCCAAAACACGGGTTTTAAATGTCCGTCAAAATACATCTTGCTGTGCGCCGCATCATTTCCATGTTGCGGATATCTCCACCTTAGGAAACAGTATTCGACAATGGTGCTGACATCGAATAGTGGCGAATTTGCCATTTCTCGCATTTTGTTACTGAATGTAAAAGAGTAACTTCAAGCATGATGAACAATTATCTCCTCAATTTTGGCTATTGGATAAGCGTTCCGAAATTCCGAGCTGGAATATGCCTATGTTTATCAATGAGGTGAGCAACAAAGTACAATAACCATGATTGCTACCTGACGAGAGCAGATTTGTAGATGCCCTTGTATGAGGCTGAGGAACTCCTTCCGCAGTACATTTCCCGTGCATGCTCAACCACTTCCATTCGTCAGCGTATTTTGGAGTGAGTGCGCAATTAACATGTTAGGGGATGCCGTTTGTGGAACACAATTGTGTATCTTTAGATCTGTAACTAGGCGCGAGCCGACTCCCGCACTGCCGAGACATAAAGGATTCCCTGATTCTTTGTGTTAGTGCGCACCGGTCATCGCGTTATTCAGCTTGATGATGTGCAGTGGTTCACATGCGGCTTCCCGCTCACACCACAAAGAACATTGACCTGACTATTCAATGCGTAACGCAATTTTGTTCCCTCGCAATATTGACCACGAGGAAGCGCCTAGACCGTGCACATTTACGTCATAATCATTGGCCAAATTACTCCGATTTGCTTTACCGACTATCGGCCATGACATTGGAGCGGCTTACATGTTAGGCAGTACTTGGCGTTCTCAGACATTACCGTTCTCACTCCGTCATCGTGCGAGTGACAACGTCCGGCCCCACACGCGTACGTTTTTCTCAACATTCCCAATCCAATTGTCTGAGGTCGGCCAGTGAGGCCACTGTACGACTGTGTGAGTAATCCCGACTGATGCCAACGCCAAGAACTTGAGAGAGTAACAAAAGATTTCGCTACATGATCAAAGGATTTTAATTGAACTATTCCGGAACATTGGTGGGAAATGCTATATTTGTTGACCATCGCCAGTTTCAGTCGTCTAATTATGCGTTCCGAATGTGTCTAATCATAGTAGTTTTCGGTTTTCTTCAACGTTTTACGTCAGGAGCGATCTGTGGCTGTGGTACTAGTCCGATCCCTAGCTGGCGTAACCTGGCTAAATGGAAACTAGCATTATTTCATCAAAATCACTATACGTTTATTACGAAATCGCCAAAATATCTTTTGTTTGTACAGATTTATTTAGCAGTTTTTTTCCTGACATATTTCTGTATATTATGGTTGCCGTTGTTCCGATATAGCTATTGTTTCATAAGCGTTCTGCTATCTGTAATTGACGCATAAGCTCACATGACACCAACAGACGCAGAACTAATCTTCATGTCTTATTGGAATATGTTTTGGCCCATTTTGGCACTTCGCTTGACTAAGCGAAACCATAAGATACATAACGACTGCTCACAGAGTACCAATGATTCCTGGTAGAGGGAAGTATGCGCACTCTAGTTAGGAAGCGGATTCTTGGGTTGTTATTCGTTAGTGTTTCGAAAGACTTAGGTTTTGGACGAGAATAAAAAGGTGACCTCTGTTAAAGACAAAATAGTAAGCACACTAACATAAGTTCTATCAATAGTAGTCACTGTTGTGACTTAGGAACCACTTTCTTCAGCTGAGGAAGAGCGGTTCGAGGCATAATTTCTCTACTGCGCGTGTACTCGTCAAATCCATTGCAACCGTACTCCAGTGCGTTTCTCTTTATTTCAGACAAGTTATGTTGGAACTGACTGATATGTTTAGCAAAGACCGAAGTCCCCTGGCCACAAATCCTCTGCCACCAACGCGCAACTCCGCGCCTCTGGACACAGCGACTCAGCGTTCCCTCACGCATTTCAGTAATATTACCCATGGTTTCGGAGGCCTTACTCTGATCAGTGCGTTGAACACATTTCAAACTATCCTGACAGATGTGCTCAAAATTTTGGACAAAGAAAGCCAACAGCCTGGAATGTCAGCCAAACACCTGCACATGACCAGTTCAGTTGTTCCTCAAATATCGCATTCTCATCTGCGAATGCACGGACCTAACGAGACCCACCCTGCGCTACCGTTAGCATCATCTGGTACAGGGCAAACAGACGACGGCAGCCGTCTCCGATGCAAAATGCCGCACCCGAGTGATGGAAGCATGTCAGAACTCTTGGGTCTGATGTCTGGCCAACGCACTGGCTTGGCGGATGGCATGGAAACATCAAACATAATTCACCGAGTGATTTAACTGGGGCGAGCTGATGCTCTTAAATAAATCCTGACGCTAACTAATGAAGAAGGAAGCGTTGACCCAACTTGTATATATATGCATTAGATGAGTAACATTCATTGTAAAATACAGAGGTGTGAATGCATTTGGCAAGGTAAAGTCTTCAAGTTGCCAATTTTATTGGCTGTACCGGGGAGATGAATGGGTAACAATCTGGAGCGCACCCAAGGGACTGACATTACAGAATAATGGATATCTGAACTATGAGAGAAGAACTGAGAAACCGGTGCCAAATGACGGATTTGCAGAGTATTCAGTGGCTCGCACATTTTCTCGCCCTTAGGCTGCTAGCACTTTAAGAATGAGGTGACTATAGTGCCATTTATCCGGTTGTGGATCTGGATTCCAACGAGGAGAGAGTATTTAGGTCGAGCGCCTTCATTCGATTCGCACATTTTTAGTGCAGCGTATAGGAGTTATCAAGTCGTCCCCATTAGGTGGCAGCCTAAGTAGAATAACCAAGTGTTCGAAAGTATGCCCAGAGATCAGCGTTACAAATCTGCGGTGTTAGCATAGTGAGGATCAGGGCACCAAAGCTTTTATCGGGATGCATAAACACGTTGTGCTTGATGCACTCGTAGCCAAAGTTTGGGTATACATCGTGAAGCAACAACTGGAAAACGATCCAGCAAGCTCAACAAAGCGCTCTCCGGTCGGTGTACCGTATCCCAGAGTAGGCACTGATTGTTCCCCGTGGATCAGACCATGGGGCATGACTGTGGCTGTTTGTTTCTAACACCAAGTACGGAAATGTGGTTTATGGGTGGGATTCTTTGTACGGCTATCACAAATTGCGAGCAGTAAAAGCAGAAGGAAATTTCGCGAACTGGAAAATTCTGATTACTCATATTTTGAAAAGTGGCATCTTAGCGGTGCTAATGCACTTACTAACTTTTGTCAAACTTTGACAAGCATGGCTGTAGAAGACTTTTCAGGAGAAGGTTAACCCAGCACGACGGCCTAATGCGATTCCACTATAAACCGAGGGTTAATACGGACCAAGTCTCTGCAGTATCTTGTCTGCAAAATCTCCAAGCATCATAACACGTTGTCCGATATACCGTTTGGAATTTTGCTAGGGGGTTGAGAGGTTTGACGTATACTTATCACGGCACAAGTGGTCAGGTACATTCGTCAAACAAGGACAATTTTCCTTGACTTAATGGGTCTCCTTCTTGGAAGTAATAAAAAAATATGACAGCATGGCGAAGCATGTTTGTCGAACGGTCGCATCTTACATTCATTGAAAAAATGCAGGTGAAGTAGACAATCAAACGCTCTAGACCATACCATGAATTCTAAATTTCACCAATAAGCAGCGCGACTGTGCTATGAGACCTAAGATAAACTGTTCTGTTCCTCATTTATTCAGAGCCGTTTTTGTCATTATGTTTCTTCTTGGCATGTTCTGTGGAGGGACCAGTGGTAAGTTTAAGTCAGCATCTGGTCTCCATGAGCCAGTGATTGAGAATGAAGTCTTATCTCCATCTATTTGGTTACATGTGGAGGCCAATGTAGCCCGTTCCAACCCCCTACACATCAACAAAACAGTATTGATGATAGCTATTCATGATTTGTTAGACATGATCATGGTCAGTTGTAAGAAAAATAGTTGAAGCACAGCACAGCGTTTGACGGTGGCCGTAAAATTTCTGTTGTGCACGCAGAAAGTAGTTCACTGAGGTGGTCCACAGTAGTTTATAATATTCGTCGCTTGTTCAGAGTCATCGCCGTTGAATCTCAAATTATAAGCGAGGATGGGTACCTCTCGGTCGGCGTCCAATACGACCTTGAAGCAAACAGAAGTGAAAAGTGAAAAGGTTCAGATTTCACGAAATTGGTGGCGCAGGTGGAAGTTGTTGCGGAGGTAAATAACATTTATTCAACTAGTGCCAACTTCCTTGTGATCATTGATATCGACCAAGCAACAGCCATTACGTGAGCCGGTTACCTCACGTATGACTCGAGAGCAGGTCGTTACCAGCTGTGTTTCTCTGACTACAGAACATGAAATGTGTTGGTAACTGGGCGGTTTGGAATGAACCTCACAACACAGTACACAGGTCAAATATAGCTACATCTCGCAGGGAGGAGTCAACAGTTACACCGGACATCAGCTAAAGCGTTGTTCACACGGAGAACAGACAAAGCCAGAGATGCCCGATACCGTGTTTACTTCCCAGAAACGCATAATTACACCGTCTTCCCATTGCCGCATCCGCAGTTACAAGCTCAATCGTCAGGCTGGGCAGGTAATGTTTTCTAATCATTAACAACAATAAACCATTTTTGCTTTCTGGTATAACACTGACGTAACATAGGTTCTTCTAAACCGCAAACGATGTGTCAGACATTTAAGTGGTACTTTAAAGCTTGTAGGCTGCAGGAGACCAGAAATCCAAATCTTATGAGACACGCGTTAAACTTGGTCTCTTAGTTCTTCTCAACGCGCGACATAAATTGAGTACAATGCAATCCTTCCAAATTAACAGTTACTATGCAACGTGATACATAGAATAGCACTAGACGGTGGCTTTATCTTCTCTGTATTCGGAAATAATATTCACTATCTGGATGACTATTATCTCTGAACCTCAACTCTATTCTGTCATTCACGATACATGGAATGTGGTTGCATCTCTTCTTGCCGTATGCTCAGTGTCTTATCACCAAGTGGCTTAAGAAGGGTTATTTAGGTGCAGTGAGGTACCAAGTATAATAATTTGAGGACAGAATACAGGAATGGGAATTGAGCTGCATCATTTCCCCGCAGGTTCTTCTGTTACCGTGCTGTTGACGACCGGGTCAACTCAGAGGTTTCAGTCTCATCTAGATAAATGATTGTTCCATACCAAGGAGTTGCGAGAGAACGAGAAAGCGATCTAGTGACTGACAAGGTCCAGTTACGTATTCTGCGTTGTCGTCGCTATACAGTAAGAGCAAACCCACAACTGTCTGCTTCCTCGATTAAAGCAACGCTTCCGGTTGCGTTAAGCGTAAATTGTTGTTGAGAGATCTAAAGACACCTGGTGTTCAAACTTCAATAGTATTCTTGCCAAAGGATTATTTTGTCAAACCAACTCAGGTCACCAGATTTAACGGAAAAACCTCACACCACTTTCCAGAACATCCGGTGCCCTTTAAGAGCTATTTTGCCACCATTCATTTTCTCTACTTTCGTTAGCTCAAAATCTGTCTCAGAAGAAACCATACTGTTGATAAATGCTGATGGTGTAATCATCGGCGTGAATCATCAAACCTCAGCGTCCTCAGCCAAGCTGTAGCGTTTTTGTGAAGAAGTTGTGCAATGGTCAAACTCCCGCTGTTTGACGCGGAACGCGTCCAAGTGTAATGACGCTTATACACTGAAGAAAACAACTTGTTACCAGGATGTAGTCACGGAATGTCCCAAAGTTAAGATTGAACGTAGCAGTTTCAGCGTCTGTAGGTTAGTGAAGTATCTTGGAGTTACACAGAGCCACGATTTCTCGTGGTTACTCCACGTGACCAGATGGCTACAAAAGTCAGGCGACTTCATCTTACTTCTCTCGATTGTGATCTCATGCTGCATAACGTAAAATCTAATTCTGAAGTTCATCACTGCATGCATTCCACAATACTGGAGTCATTCCTTTCCTGTGCTTTTTACAGGCCTACTGTGTTAGCACCTCAAGCCGCTTGACAGGTCGCTAAAGCGCTTGTCTCGCTGTAGTGGCATTCCAAAGCCAACTGGCAAATCAATAATATCTACACACGTTAATTCATGTACTAAATTACAAAAATATCCACCGATATTAGCCACCCTCTTCACACTTCACTTGCTAACTGTCTGCATACCTCTTCAACCAGCCAAAAGTATAGGGCAATATACGCCCGCACGAAAGCTTGTAGTTCGTCTGTCATCCCCAATTTAGCCAGATTTCTATTTGACCAAAACGCTATTAGTCGACAACTAGCAGGTGGATTCTGCCAGCGAGGTTGCTTTCTACTGAAGTTTCCTTTGTTATTTTTCTCTCACAGTGGAATTTTTTTGGTATGCTGATATCATGTGCGTCAAGGCTAAATTTCACCTGTCACGGATGCGTAAAAGCCCATGCTTAATTGGACTTAACTGAGCAAATACTGTCCAGAAAGAAGTTATTTTCTTAATTGATTAAACTACTGGTGTTTGGCGAGTAGTTATATGAAAGTGAATCTCTTCTCACTTGTTTCAAGAGCACGTGTTCAAAAGCAGTTTGCATTGATTTCGGGGATCCAATTCTGGCCACTTTGTTTAGAAGTTCTCCAAGATAGTTTTCTTTATGCACATCCTTGAAGCCGACGAACCAGCGATCACTAATGCAAATTGCAGATTGAACCTAAGAAAAGTGGGGTGGCGAAATTGTGGCAAAAGTGCATCGCTGAGCAAAATGCAGCATCGTAAAAGCCGTTGCGTAGAAACGTCCCAAACTTAAAAGTACTTATGAATAATCCTATGAGAAAGGTTACAATGATGCAAGTTTCAGCCTATCGACATAGTCGACGACAAAAGAGGATGCATCATCTCCTACTACGCACAACGTCATTTTAGTGAACTCTTCTGGTTCAGCACTGTGTGGTTTGAAGCCGAAGTCACGTTTAGATTCATGTGCATGTCTATCATATGGCAGGTGAACAATTTCAGTGGCTACAGATTCGTCACCCCATTTGCTGGTTCACTTAGACAATACACCCCACAGCCACGCTTCCTTTTTAGTGATTATTAGCGCAAAACTGAAGGATGTCCGGCGCAGTGCGATCGTGTTCGATACATCGTTACCAAGCACACACCAGGGGCTACTCAATCCTTGACGAGATTTCAATCAAAGTATTGCTATAATCAATGGGGATACTATTAAAATTGCACCCAGTTTAAAATTGTAACCTCGTACGAGGGATGCGAAGCTGCAGGCCCGTTGATGGAGCAAAATAAGAATCAGATATAAGATGGGTTAGGGTGTCTGGAAGTTCATTACAGTTTCATGCATCACCAGACAACTCGCCTTAATCAGTTTGAAACGAAACAGTGCAGCCCTGAAGGGCACAGTATGTTGAAGATTTTCGTTTACTGAAAGGCATTATGTTATTTGTTTTGCTCTTGTGAGACAGGGCAAGCACTGTCTGCGTGCTTGGGATAAGGGTCTAAGTGTGAACACATGAAGTAAGAGTACGTTTGGATGGATGAATTAACTCGGGTGCCGCATGGCCTACACAGACGAAATTCGTAATAAATGGCTGAAGGACTAATGTGCAATGATGACGTATTTCCGATTCCTCGGAAACTATTGCTACCCCTATTCGTGATCTAATCTTGACTGACGAAAATCAAACGACATAACGGATTTGGCTACATTTTGTTCATGTGGGGTTGAACCGCATCAGCTTAGTTACCATTGGGATTTCTTAACCGAATGTCCCCCATATGTTGCCTGGGAAACGTTCACGAGGACGTGTAGCACAGTGATAACTTACGCATCTGAAAAGAAGTACTTCCAAAGTAAGAACGACTACGGTATCAATCGTTCCCTGCTCACATAGTTAGAAGACTACTTACACGACAGAGCAATCAAAGTAAGAGTAGCCGACACTCACTTTGCAAGCCTGTACGTCTCCAGTGGTGTGTCATAAGGATCTGTTCTCGACCCGCCACTGTTTTTAATCTACAATAATGACCTTCCAGCAGACATTCTATCTCCGATACAAATATTTGCAGACGATGCTATGATTTGGAGAGCAATTCGCTCAGCATCCGATCGTGTCTGCCTCCATGATGATCTGACTCGGATTAATGAATGAGCAGAAAGGAATTAGCTCCCACTGAACTCTGAAAAGTGCCCCCTGATGACGGTGCCTAGCAGCTTCGTCAGCACGTACGTTTTGGGGCAACACGTCCTGCTACACGTGACTAGTGAACGCGACTTACGTGTAATCGTACAAGAGCGTCTTGGCAATTCGCTCCAATGTTCGAAAGCAGCAAGTGTGGCGAACTTGAATTTGAGACTTCTGAGGCGAGATCTCGGCAACCTTGAGCGACGGCTAGTGCCAATCTTGATCAACTCCAATATTCGCCCTCACGCTGAATATGCAATGCAGGCCTAGCGTCCATGGTTAAAACGAGATATTCGCCTACTGGAACAACCCCAAAGAAGAGCCATAAAGGCAACGCGTGGATTATCCGGTCTAAGTAACGAACTGCGTCTTCGTATACTCGGTGTGTTCTCATTAGAATACCGACGGCTTCGCGGAGATCTTACTCTCACATACCGAATGCTAACTGAAAGCAAGTATCCATGTACATCACTGTTGACTCTAGCCCTTTACAAACAAAACCGAGGCAACCAGCTGAAACGAATGACGCAACACTCCCATCTGAATCGTAGAAAGCAGTTTTGCTCACTTATAATCTGTTCTCACTGGAATGCATTACCAAGATATGTGGTGAAGGCACTAGACATGATGACCTTTGAAAGGCTCTTAGACTTTCATTTTAGTGATAAGGGCTACACAACCGTTTGATAAAGTGCAATGGTTTAACCACTGATATTTCATGTTCCACATTGGAACATTTTCATTTTCTTTTACGTATCCATCCTGTGGGTCTTGTAAAGTTATGCTTTTTATCTCATCATACACTATTGAACTACTGAAGTCGTTTCTGAAGAGCAGAAGGCGTAAATCTATGTCCCTGAGGGATTTGGCATGAAGAACTCACAAGAACCGCCCGAATGCCGAAACCTGGGCTGCATACGTGATACATCGTAAATTCTGTGGGAAAGTGGTCCGCGAGGACAAGATAACGCATCGGCAGGATTTAATGAAGCGATTCTTCTCGAACCGCAAACTTCTCTACAGGCACGTTAACGGTATTCGTAAGGTGAAGCGACGGATTCCAGCACTGGTAACGGCTGATGGATGCACGCTGTCAGCAATGGAAGCAGCCGATCTTCTACGGCCTCAGTGCTCCAAACTTTCCAGCAGATACCCAGCCCAAATATCCTCCTCGTTTATATTACTCCACCGTCGGATTTAGGCAACATTACATTCACTGCGGAAGCTGTTTTGAAGAAGTTGTTGTCCTTGCGTATCCCTAGTTATCCTGGAGTCAACAACATTCGACCGAAATTTCTGCAGGTGGTAGATAGTGATCTAGCAGAACCACTGGCGGTTTTCTATCAGTGATGTCTTGAGGAGAACCATGTTCCACCAATATGGAAGCGAGGGGTCATCACTTCTATTCATAAGGGAGGTAGGCGCACTAACCCTACCAACTGCCGTGCAATAAGGTGACTTCATGTACTATCCAAAGTGGTGGAATCAATCATCGTAGACGCACCGATGCAGTATCTGGAAGGCCACAACTTAATGGCTCCAGAGACACATACCTTCGGTCAAAAACGTTCATTTACTCCTAACCTATTAATTGCACGTAATAGCTGGACTGAAGTAGTTTATGTTGAAAGATGAATCGACTTTCTCTCCCTGGACTTCGCAAAACGCTTAATCCATTGGACCATCTAATTCTCCTTCACAAGCTTTGGAACTACGGTATTGGTGACCCAATCCTGAGTTGGGTTAGCAATTTTCTACATAAACGTGGGTTGTAGGTGAGAGTCCGGGAGTCTCTGTTGCATACATTTGATGTGGAGTGTGGTGTACCACAAGGCTAGGTGCTTGTGCCTCGTCTATTCTTGGTGTTCATTACCGATTTGGCGAGATCAGTTGCTTCCGACTTCCTATTTTTCGCGGATGATATCAAGATATAGTGAGTGATCAGAGGGCCGGGCGAGCACTAATGGCTCCATTGCAATCTCAACACAGTCAGTACACAACGCCGTACCATTCAACGTAGACAAATGTCGCACGGTGCAATTACGCCATAGACATGACAACACATATTTGCTTGTGCACACGGATTGCAGACCATCTTCCATGAAGGTGACTTTCGTGTGCTCGTATAGTGACCTCAACTGTCGAAAACAGGCTGAGGTAGCTGCGAAAAGAGGCAACCCGCATGTCGGCATGCTGCGAAGGGCATTCGGGAGATTTGACCCATCAATTTTCCCAATAATGCAAAATTCCTACGTGCGCCCTCACGTTGAATACATCATCCAAACTTGGCAATATTGGTTGAAGCGCGACCTAGAGGCGTTAGAGGCACAAAAACGAAGAGCAACAAAGAATGTAAGGGGTATGCGTTATCACTCTTACCACCGAGGACTGAAGTTGCTGGGAATTTTCAGCGGACGCTATCGAAGGTTGCGTGGCGATCTCATATTAGCGTATCACATACTAAATAATTCCAACCACGTATGCCGCCACTTGCTGAGACTTAGCTACAACATGCAGCTCAGGGGTAACTGCTTAAAATTGAAGGAACAATATAGCTGTCTAAAGTGTCGACGGAATTACTTTTCCCTTCGGGTTTGCCAACCCTGGAACGCACTCTCAGACTCAGTTGTATCCTCCCCTAATTTGCATATTAAAAAACGACTGTATGTTGACCTTAGCTCTCAACACTTTATTACATAAATTACGCCATGTTGGATTACGCCAATCATGCCCATCTACAAGATGTGTGTCACATGGACCTAACAAGAGGACGCATAAGTGAGCGAGCATATTTTACTTTGCTAACTCTACATTAACGACCGCTGCACCCAGTGTATTTCTGCATGCTTACACTTGAATTTTTTTATACAATGATGTTACCTGTCAACGCATTCATTTCGATGGACGCTCAGTAGATGACTGACATATATTTTGTTTCCCTCGTATTCACCCCAATCATACTACGGGACGTATCAAGCGATTGTTTGTGCGCCGTGATAAATCATTTTCATTGTTCATTAAAGATGATTAAACGTACTTGAACATTACAGATATGTATGTCGTCAGGTAGTAATCCCTGCTGCTGCGGCAAGCGAATAAGCTACCCTCGTAGGCCACTAGTCTTTGTTTGGTTGCCCATTGGGATAGTGTCTAGAGTCCGCAACATTTCAGCTAATTTGTAAAGATGGCATCGCTAAAAACACTAAGAATATGAGTTCAGAGAGGTTTGGAAACAATCGGTTGGCATAATAGTTTGGTAACGTTTCGCCCTCGACACGAGAGCTTCGTCAGAACAGGTGAATCAGTGTGTAATTGGTGTGGGATTTTATAGCCAACAGGGGCGATAACCGCGTTACCCGAGACTTGAGTCATGATATCATTACAGTAACAGTTGGTGAGGTCACCTCAGGTGGTACGATCACAGTGGGAATAGTCCAGGGGTTCTTTTGTGCGTCATGACAATGACGGATAAGCCCATAGTGTTGACAACGGGAGTCGGTTTGCACTTTCC